TGTACCCCGCAGGAGGCACCTTTGTAGTTTCCTTTAGATTCTGAAACCAGTCTTCTCCTGGTGGTTCTCTGGGGACCCCGGACAAGGTGCCCAGAAGGCCTTCCCAACAGTCATTCCAGAGACTCAGACGTCTACCTCCTTGGTGCCTAAGGTTTCCAGGGAGCTTCTCAGCGCAGAGCCCTTGCGCTTGCTTTCTTTCTCTTCCAGAACTGCAACCAGAGGCCTTGAGAGATGGCCCCAGGAAGGACCCACTGGAACGCCAACGCAGGCCTGCACCTACAGTAACCGAACAGCAGGATTCGAATACTTAGCGATGCCCACCCGGGGCTGCAGATAAGACCTAAGTGAGATTTCCCTCTGAGCTTCCTCCTCTCAAACCAGATGGGTTGACGTTCTTTGCCCCGCTTGCTGAGAAGTTTAGGAACCTGCCTTACCTGGGCCCCGCGCGCCTCCTCAGGCGCGCAGTAGGCTCGCAGGAGGCACGCCTGGTAAACACCAGCTATAGTTAGCAAGTCCCCTCTTCGTAACTGGACAGGGTACGAAGTCCTCTGCGCCGCTGGCGCCGCGGGTCAGTGGCATCCGCGGGGACCCCGCCCCCGCTCCCCGCGCGCGCGGCCCGAGCCACCCGGTGGGGTTTCCGCGCGCTGACGTGGGCGGATCAAAGCGTCTGCCCGCGCCTTATAAAGCAGTTTGGGCGGCCCGCGCAGGAGACCGTGCCCGGCCAGGAGGAGAGCAGGGGCGCGCGGGCGAGCGCAGGCCCCGGGAGCGGAGAAAAACCCAGAGTAGCCTGAGTCAGTGCCACAGTCTCCGCAGGACCCGAGCCGGTCGCTGCTTGCCAGGATCCCGGTGGGCGCCCTTCTTCCGCGGCTTTGCCAAGAAGGCACCCTCACCGCCTGCCCAGCCGGGAGAGCGCTCGGGTCCCTTGGGGGCCGTTCTCGCCGCTCCCTGGCCGGCCCCAGCAGCGGGCCACTCGGGGCGCAACCGGCCGACGAGCGCCCCAGGAGGTGAGCAGTGACTGGGCAGCGGGCGGGTGCTCTGCAGGGACCTGCTAGGGCGGGGGGCGTCCGAGTCCGAGGGGACGGCGCGACCCTGTTGGGCACCCACTACCGGGTAAGAAAACCGAGCCCTCCTCCACACCTCTCCTCCGCAGCTCTCCGAGGCATTCCCCTTACGGAGAGCCGTCCCCGGGGCCGGGGGCACGGGCTTTCCATGGATGGGTGATGGTGGTGGCCTGTGCGGTTTCTGCGGCCCGCGCGAGCCTTCCGGGTCCTGGTTCCCCCGTCCGACCCCCTCCCTCCCAGTCGGCCTGCGGATGAGGTCATGCCCGAGCCATCCCGGGGGTGGGGGACTTGGATCTTGCGACAGAGGGTGTGTGGCAGGGAGGGAGAGAGTGGCAGAAGGCAGAGAACCAAGGCAGCTCCTACCACATTGGGGGATACGGGTGAGCGCCTCGCTTTGAGACCCGGTTTCAGAAGCTGCGGGGACGGGGGAGAACCGAGAGTTTGTTTACAGACCTGAGCTCCAGGCTGGGGGGTGGGGAGGAAAAGAGTCCTGTCCGGGCGGTGAGGCACATCTGGAGCCGCCCGAACATCTGGCTGAGCTCGCGCACAAGCCCCACACCTTCCACCTTTCGGCGCTGAGGTGCTTTCATATCCTCTCGGTTCTTCGGCGCTCAGGGTCAGGCTCGGAGGGGTGGTCGGAGGCACCCCGAATTCCCCCACCCCACCCTTCCCACTTCCAAAAAAAAAAAAAAAAAAACAAAAAACCATTTGCGGATAACGCGGCGCACCGTCCGCAGCGAAGTAGACTCATTTCTCTATTCTCTAGCGGATCAGGTCAAGTCCGGGTCACCGGCCCGGCCTCACTACGCATCTCAGGTAACCTTGACGCGGTCGCTCGGTGTCATCGGCTCTCGGGGTCGGCTTTCTGAGCCGCTCAGCACAAGGCTTCAGGCCCGGCCGGTGCCGACCTTAACGCGCTGCATGGACACCCTGCCCTGGCGCGTGATGCCGGCTCTCCGCCCAGCGGGGGCTCGCCCGGTAGGGGCTTCTCGGCACATCTCAACCGGCCTGGCTCAGAGGGGCGGCCACCCTAGAAGCGGGGTTTCCAGGGATTTCCAGAGCCCAAGCCTTATAACCACCTGCAACCTTATCGACCAGTTGAAGCAGGGCTACGGCTATGCGCTCGCTGTGCCCGTGTGCACAGCGCTGGCGGTCTCGCCCCTCACCAGCGGCAAACGGGTAACTTGGACCTTATCCCCAGTGGGGAGAGTCCAAAGACACTGAGCTTAGACATGGGCCGAATACGCGCCTGACCCCAGGGGAGGTTCGGCGCCAGGCCCCAAGCAAGGGGGTCAGGTGGTTGGGGGCTGCCCGCGGCAAGTGGATGTCTTACAGGACAACCCGAACTGAGAGGGCACTTACACTGCACCTCATCCCATCCCCAGACAGAGGCACTGGGTCCCAGGAAGAGGAGGGGACTTGCCCAGTGTCCCACGCATGGGAGGCAGCCGCCTATCCTACCTTGAACCCCAACTTAGCGCCCTCTGGCGGGCTGGGAACTCCGCGAGGCGAGTGCGCCCTGACCCTCCGGGCGCAGGCCGAGAGGGTGACCCAGCGGCCCGCGCGGCCGTCCTGGACGCTTTTACACCGGACAGGAATAACCCGCCAGCACTCAGAGGCCCAGGCCAGGGAATGCCTCTCCCAGCGACGCGCTGGGCTGGCGGAGGGAGAGGGAGAAGCCCGGGACCACCAGGGCAGCTCGGAAAGAGCCGGAGTAGCTGGAGGTTTGGGTCCCCGTGCGCTGTGTGACCCGGGCGGCCCCTCTTCTCTCTTGGCAAGTTGGGCTGGACACTTATACCCGGCTGTGAGTCTTCGCTCTCCTCCCCCGCGTGCAGCCCCTTCCCCCTTCCCACCCTGGAATGCTGGGCGCCGGCGTGGGGGGCGGGGGCCGGGGTGGGGGGAAGCCCACACTTTAGGAGGGGTGGGGGCGAAGAGAGACAGTGACTGGAGGTTTGATCCTTTCCCTTCCTCCCATATCCAGCCGGCATTTTTCTCGTTCTCAGGAGTGTGGTAAACTTTCAAGGGCAGTAAGACAAAGGGTTTGAATACAGGCTGAGGGGGAGGAGGGGGCTCAGTTACGCTGAGACCCCCCAGCCTTGACTCTTGTTTGTAGCCAGCGCCTCTGGGTTAGTCGCCTAGCGAGAGACTCTGCGAAGGAGAAAATAAATTTACTTCTGGGTTTTCTCCTTGCCTTCTCCTGGATTATGGTGGAAGGCTCCAGAACACAGCGAGGTTTCAAGTCTGTGTGTGTATTTAAGGGACACACATATATGCACATATTACACAGGTATACGGAATAAGTGGAAGCCTAGGCCGAGGGGAAGGCAAAGACCCGCAGACCGCTGGAAGGCCGGAGAGACCCCAGGAAATGTGCCGCGAAGGCCAGTCCCTTGCTTTTATAGAGGGAGAAACTGAGGCTGGGCGTGGTGGGGGGCTTGTCCGAGCTCACGCAGTTAAATGAGAAGGTTCCCTTACTGCTTAAGCTCCCCCACAAAGGCGGACGCCTACTTTTTCCAGCTCCCCAAACCCTTTAGAAAGGAATCCCTTTGTCTCTGCTCCACCCCAGGGGAAAGGGGCTGGGGCTCTGAATGCGTCCAGGAGAACGCCAGGTGTTGGTAAATTTGGGAGAAGCCTGGAAGGGAGTTAATGAGGCGAGAATGAAGAGGGGAAAAGAAAAGAAAAAGAGCCGGAGAAAGCGGTTCTGCAGCCTGCGGGCTCGGAGGGGTAGAGGCTGCTCCACGGCCCCAGGACGCCGCCTGGCGGCGCGAGGCGGCACCGCGCCGTCCTGGTGCGCTTCCCTGCTTAGCCAAGGCCAGGCTGCCCACCCAGCCTGGGCTCTGGCCTGGATACCACCCGGCCCCGCGAAGCGGGACGGCCGGAGAGGGGCTTGGAGACCCGGCATCCTGAACAGCTCTCGCTGTGCAAAGACCTTTGCCATCCCATTTCTCATCCTCCCCTTTGCAGACTGAGAAACTGATGCCCAGAGCAAGCCTCCATGTCCTTGTCTTCTCATAGTCCGTGATGTCACCGGCCACCTGAGCAGACTTGGGAGTAGAACACGGGGTGTAGACATAATGCTTAATGGCTGAACAACCCCATTTCTTATCTCTGGGCCTTAGTCTTCTCATCTGGGAGACGGAGACACTGAGAGTACTAATCTCACAGGGCTGCTGGAAGGAGCGAATGCCATCCTGTTAGGTGAACGAACGTTATCACTGCTGTGTCCCCAGCATACAGAGAGGGTCAACTGAGGCCCAGCGGGAAAGGGAAATCACCAGGGTCATAATATAATAATTACTATTGCGGAGATAAGAACCCAGTTTCCGGGCCTCGAATCTGCTCCTTCCTGGCCCGCCCGCGGCCTCTGGCCCGACCCCGCTCGCCCTCCCCTTTCCGTCGCTCCGCTTCTCCGTGAGCCTGTCCCGGCTTTTCCCACTGCCCAGCGTCTGCCAGCCTCGGTCTCTTGTAAAAGGGTTTGAGCGTCTCTCCCTCTTGCAACCTCCCTGCCCCTCTCTACTGGGTCTCCTTTCCGGTGTCTCTGGTCCTGTCTGTCCCTATCTTTCCTGCCCGTAGTCCGGGTCCCAGCCCGAGTGGCACAAAGAAGCGGCCGGGTGCCGAGTTAGGTGGACACGCCCTCGGCACCTAATTCGAGCCAGACTGTGGCCGAATCCGGGTCTGTGCCGGGCGGGAGGTGACGCCCGCCTTGCGCTCGACCTCCCCCGACCGGGACCCCCCTCCTCGCTTTGTAATTTGAATAAAACGCCCCCCTCCACCACCACCCCCGCCGCGGCCCCAGCCCTGAGCGCCGCCTTAACCCGCCGCCTCTGCTCTCCCCGGCTGCAGGCACCAGCGGGAGGACAAGCTGCGGTGGCCCGGGCGCGGTGCAACTTCGGCGCGGCTCCTCCCGGGTGCGACCCCTGGCGCGCCCGCCGCGCGACGATGAGGGCGCGGCCGCAGGTTTGCGAGGCGCTGCTCTTCGCCCTGGCGCTCCAGACTGGCGTGTGCTATGGCATCAAGTGGCTGTAAGTAGGGACCTCACGCGCACAGGCGGGCTCTGGCAAAGGTGGCTGGGGGCGGAGGGGAGCGGTAAGGGGCCCGGTGAATGGGGCAAGCGTGCCCCAGACCCGGGAGCAGAAGTTGGCTTGGGGGTCGTGAGCAAGTCATTCTTTTTAAGCCTCTTTTCCCCTTTCTGCAAAATATTGTCCATACCTCCCCAAGGGTTACTAAGGAGGAGCAGGGCGGGCGTGGAGGGCGGCGGAATTACCCTGTCCTGGGCAGCTGAGGATTGCTCAAGACTGCCCAGGGGCAGATGAAAAAAGACAGTGTGGGCAAGGGGCACAGTCAAAGAGGGTCTGCGCCCTGCCCGTAGGGCCTTCTCAAGGTTTCATTTCCTTCACAGTCTCCTGACCCTAGCCGGAGGTCCTCAAACAGTCCTGACCCTTCCACCTGAGTGACACTGGGGAAGTGTCACACAGCCTCTGGGAGCCTCAGTGACTTCCTCTGTCAAAGGAGAGTAAGCATCTGCACCTCACTCAGCTGAGATGAGAAGCGGTTCTTGAAAGAACCTCATAAACTGTCAGATGCTGTGCACATGTGAAAGAGATTCCTTTACATAGAAATGATGAATAGAGGGGTAGGTGGGAGAGAGAGGTGCCCTTCCATCCAGCAGAAGGGAGTGCCTGCTCTGTGCAGCGCTGCGGGCTCTGCAGGGGTGGAGAAAGGAGTCAAGCCCAGCCCCTTCCTGGAGGAGCTGCCCTCTGGACTGGAAAAGATAAGCCCAGGCTGTAAATAACTCCAAGTGCCTTGGAGAGAGCAGGGTGGTGCCGTGCGGGCCCAGAGCAGGGAGGCCACCTGGTGGGGGGCACACACTTGAGACTCTGAAAAGATTTTTCAGGGATGGTGCCCCCTAGGCTGGGCCTGGAGAGGCTCTGGGAGTGTGGCAGGTGGGGACAGTGGGAAGTATGGCATTTAGAGTGGAGGGACTCCCTGAGCAGAACGTCCAGGACAGGACAACAGGACACAGTCTGGAGTTTGGGGTGGGGGTGGGGAGCAATGCAGATAAGCAGGCAGGGACAGATTATGGGGGCTGGGGAGGGGCTGCGAGGAAGGGTCATGGATTAGCTGGGAGACAGGATGATAGTGACCAGGCCACCATCAAATAGTCTATTTTTTAAATTTTCAATTTATTTTTTGGAGAGAGGGGAAGGAGAAAGAGGCAGAGAAACATCAATGTGCGGGAGAAACATCAATCAGCTGCCCCCAGGCGTATGCCCCAACTGGGAATCGAACTGTTTGGTTCACAGGCCAGCGCCCGACCCAGTGAGCCGTATCTGCCAGGACCAGCAAGTAGTCTTGAGGTCATCAGCCCTACCCCTTCTGAGGATGAGTTGTCAATTAATCGGCAACTCAACCTCATCTTCCTGCATTTTTTGTTTGCAAGAAGAAATCTGTGCTCAGCAGCCTTCCAGCCGCTCCTGATTAGTTTTGTGAAAAATCATCAACCTTCCTTCTACTGCCAGGACCTGGCACTGTCCCAGTTGGTGGGAACCTCCGATCAGGGAGTCCAAGCCCTTCTCCCCCACCACCACCATTTTACAGAGGCGTAAACTGAGGTCCAGAGAGGGAAAGAATTTACGACAGAGCAAAGGTGCCGCAAGCTGAACTGAGCTTGCTCCTATGGCGTGTGAGGACCCATGCTACAGCGGGCCCGCTCTGACTCCGAGAAGCGTGTGACTTGCGCGGCCCCCAGGCCAGCATGTGGCTGAGGAGAGCCTAGAATATATAGTTGGCTAAGTCCAACATCCATGCTGTTCCCATTGCCTGGCTCAGGCTGCCACAAAAATGGTACAACTCAGTGCCTGCCTTAAAGAACCTCCTAGACTCTTGCGGAGGTGATATGTAAAAAAAAGAAAACAAAAAACCAAAGTGGACTTTGGGCTGTGTCCTCAGAGAGGGAGCGTGGGAGCCCAGAGGAGGAACAGTCAGTCCCACCCAGGGTAGGACTGGGCTTTGAAGGACAGATAGGATTTTGATGGCCAAGGGTGGAATGCAAAGCAGGCACCCTGGGCAGGAGGAGCAGCCAGGGCAAAGGCGCAGAGGCGGGACTGTGCACCTGGGGGAACAGAGAGGCCAGGAATTATAGGAGCCTAATAGTAAATCCCAGACACTGTTCCAAGAGCTTTCCTCACGAAGTAGGTGATATTCTTATCACTACCCTTTTACAAATGAGGAAGTGAAGGTACAGAGAGGTAACTGACCCAAAGTCACACAGCTAGTTAATAGTGGCTGTGGGGTCAGAACCCAAGCAGACGGTCTCCGTGAAACCAAACCTCTTGATAGTGATTTAACTCTTGCTGGAGCTGAAAATAGAGGGGGAAGCAGGAGAAGGAGTGGCTTTTAAGAATAGCAACAATAGGCCCTGGTTGGGTAGCTCAGCCAGTTAGAGTGTCGTCCCAATACACCAAAGTTGCAGATTTGATCCCCAGTCAGGGCACATACAAGAATCAACCAGCGAATACGTGAGTGAGTAGAACAATAAATCAATATTTCTCTCTCTCTTTAAAAAAAAAATCAATATAAAAAATGAATAACAATAGTGTATGTGTGCATGCATGCGTATGTGTGTACACAGTTGACCCTTGAACAACAAAAGTTTAAACTGCACAGGCCCAGGTACACATGGATTTTTTTCCTGTACTGTTTTCCACCTGCAGCTGCGAATCCATGGATGTGGAGGGCCAACTGTATGCATTGATCTATGCAATTTTATATAGGGGACTTGAGCATCTGTGAATTTTGGTATCTACAGGGGTCCTGGAATCAATCCTCCATGGTTACTGAGGGGCAACTTAAGTTTTTGGGGAGTAAAACTTATATGCAGATTCTTTAGTGCATTTGCGGGGGCTGGCATCCCAAACCCCTAAGCTGTTCAAGGGTCAGCTGTATATGGCCTTGCTACAAGCCAGGCACGGTTCTCAGTGCTTTGTCTATATCGTTTCACTTGAATTTCCCATTAAACAGAAGAGGAAACGGAAGCACAGGGAGTCTCAGACGGTTACAGCTAATAGGCAGCAGGGGCCACGTTAGGCTGTGGCTCTGCAGCCTGTGGTCACAGGCAGCCACGGGGCAATCGGGAACAGGGAAGCGTTCAGTGCCCATAGGAGGCTGGGGACTCACCCAGGAAAGTGCAGCTATCCTGGGGTTGCCCTGGGGGGGCCCTGCTGCCTTGTGTTTTGGAAAGTGAGCTAAAGATGAAAGGGCCATTTGACACAGGAGCTGAAACCAGGTGTGGCTGAGTGACCTGGAATGCTTACCTGTGGGGCACCTGAGACTCAGGCTGACTTTCCTGATGGCCTGAAGGGGAAGGGGAAGCGGGGCAGAGCCTGGCAGCTTATGGAAGCAGCTGACAAGAAATAACTTGGGGGGCCTCTTTATGACCTCACCTCTCACCCAAGCCTGCTGCTGGGATATCCTCAGACCAACAAGTGTGGGGGAACCCAGGTGGGCTGCTCGCCCCCCTCTCTGGCTGCCCCAAGTGGGGGGAAGGGAAGGGTGGTTCCAGCCTCCTGTGAACTCCTGCGGCTGTCAGTGAGGGAAAAGGCCCAGGGTGGCTGGGATGGCCCAAAAAGACCACCCTGCCACCCCTGGCAGCCACAAGCGTGCTGCTCACTCAGGGGCTGGGCCTCTCAAGGAGGAGTCCCAGGATTCTCCAGAAGGGACAAAGCTGCTGCAGAGTAGGTGCAAGGTGCACCAGGCCAGAGCCCAGAGACCTGGGTCCGAGCCAGAGCTCTGCCAGTTCACGAGCGCAAGCCAAGCCTCAGGCCAATCAGCCACTTCAGCCTCTCAGAGTCCCAGTTTCATCCCTGACGCGGGAGTAAAAGAGCCCCAGCCTGGGCTCTCGCTTGGCCCCGCCTCTGATTGGCTGAGTACCCAGTCGGGGCAAGCCCTGCCCTTCTCGGGGCCTCAGTGTCCCTACTTACACAATGAGATGGGGACACGGTGGGAAAGCAGCTGAGCTGGGACTGAAACTCTGGCTGCTAGACTTTCTCAGGAGAACCCCCAACCCCCGAATGAAGAGACCTCGGCCACCCCAGAAGCACCCTTGGCACAGGCCTTGCCTGTGAACTCTCTGTTCCCTCCTGTCCTCTCTTCCACCCTCTCCCCCATACCCCCACCCCCAGACAAATCAAAATGTTTTCAATTAGGGGTCTGCTGCAGTGAAGCAAGCTGGTGGAGATGTCCAGACGGGTAACTCCCCCGCCTCCCTCCCTAATCCTTGATTACCTCCCCAAGGGGGACTTAGTTAGATACAGTCATTACCACTAATTACCAGATGACCGAATCTCCCTCCTCAGGAGTGGAATCCACTGCCTCCCACCTCCTGATCTCCCGCCTGCACACTCCCGTGGGCGGCCCCCCCACCTCAACACCCCTCCCCCACCAACCCGGCCACTCTCTCCACCAGCTCCAAGCCTCCATCTTGTGCCCACCAGGGGCCTCCTACTTTCCCGCCACCCACCTGGACAGTCTGAGCCTTGCATGAGAGTGTCCTCGCTGTGGCGTCTCCCAGAGCGCCTTTGCTCACCATTGGCTGGGGAGGTGGATGCTTGATGACTTCAGAGGAGAACAGGCTGAGACCCAGAGTGGCCCAGAGTCCCCAGGCACCGGGAGCACAGAGCGCACCTCCCTGGGAGCCACAGTGCCGGGCATTCAGGATTTGCCTGGACTGAGCTCCACAGGGAAAGCTGGGCTCACGCTACCTCCCCTTCTTGGCCTAAGCAGGAACACGGGGAGAAGACCTGCAAGGGAGGCAGCTCACGCGGCTTGAGTGCCCACTGTGTGCTGGGTGCTGTACGGGCGTTTCTTGGTGCATCTCATGTAATCTTGCCCGTTGTGAAACAGAGAACTGACTCAGAGGGGAAAGAAGCAAGCTGGGTGAGGTGAGGGGCAGAGCAACTCCGGACAGCTGGGTGTGCACGGCCCCCAGCCCGGCAGAAAGGGGGGGCCCAGGAAGCCAGGGGACAGGTCTGCAGGAGGATGGTGTCAGGAGAAGGCCGAGCACACGGGCCCTGCGTGTCCCCGGTGTCCTCCTCTGTACAAAGGGGTGTTAACGATTTCGTCCAGGCCCACTCCTCTGGGTGTTGTGAGAATGGGAGGAGGCAGGACACGAGAGGCTCTGCCAACTGGGGCCGCATGTGTGGACAGTGTCTGCTTGCCAGAGGCGGAGGGGGTCACAACATTGGGGGCGGCTCTGCCTCCCTGTGCGCACACCTCACCCAGCACGGGCTGCAGGAAGTCAGACCATGGGCGCCCCGAGGCGCACCAGCTTGGGCAGGCCTCAGCGGCTCAGGGAGGAGCGGACAGCTCCGCGGAGATCCAGAAACATGCCTGAGGTCTGCTCTCTGTGCCGAGGCCGGCATCCAGGCACACCTCGCGTGCCCCTGCTCGTGGTTTGGGAGGCGGGCGTATCCCTCTAGGGTCTCTGCTGGGTTACTGAGGGCAGAGGGCTCGCCTACCTGAAACCCTTCAAGGCGGTGGGGCCCATCTAGCCTGCACTTAGAGGAGGGGCTGCCTGAGGCAATCTGCTCCTTAGAGAAGGCCTGGGAGAAAGGCAGATCCAGGATGGGCCCACAGCCCCCGTGTCTTTGGAATCCCAGTGTCCAGGGCCAGGAGCTGGGAAGCTCTTAGGTCTTGTGGCACCACCAGGGTTCAGAGAGCCCCCTCGGCCAGTATTTCCCAAAGCCTGGGCGAGGTCAGCCCTCCTCCAAGGGCTCTTTGCCCAGCAGGCAAGGAGTTAAACACAACCAGGCCTGCTGCTTTGTTGCAGCATTTCTCAGGGACATAGTATATCATATTTCCCAAATATGCTTGACCATGGGTCCCCTTTTTTCAGAGTGTCGCACTGGACTGGAACCCATTTTGGGAAATGTATTTATAGGGACAGGTGCCGAGGCCCAGAGAGACAGGGATTTACCTAAGGTCTCATAGCAAGTTAATGACTAAGTGTGTTTTATCATAAAATGAGTGGCTCTTTAATCTTAAATAACAATCCCTTGCATGTGTGTGGGACTTTATAGCCTAATAAATGAGTTTAATAATTTAATGAAGCAGTGGTGGGAAGCTCCTAACTCATGTTGTGTGCCTAGTAAATGCTTAATTAATAATATGTATTATTATGATGATGATTATAAAAACCTAGCACTTAGCACAGTGTCTAGGGCATAATGGGTGCTCAGTGCTGAATGAATGTTTAATAAGGAGGAATAATTCATAGCTCTGTGAGAACTAAATAAAGGCAATGGATGTGAGTACCTTTCACACGGTGAAGTTATTGTTAGCAGATTTACAATAAAGCTTCGGTAAATGGAGGTCATGATCCTGTGTTATAAATGAGAACCTGAGGCCCTGGAAGGGACAGTAATGTGCCCAAGGTCACAGTGGGGTGGGAGGAGAAGCCGTATTTCTGTCAGAGGCAGTGCTTTGCCTCTTGGTTTCTTGGCTCTTTCTAGTAAAAGGCTCCTGGGAGAGGCGGGGCCTGTAGGAGGGGTGAAGGCAACGCGGCCTCTAACGCCTTGTCTTTCCTTCCATTGTCATTGCCTTTTGGCGGTGCACAGGGCGCTGTCCAAGACGCCAGCAGCCCTGGCGCTGAACCAGACACAGCACTGCAAGCAGCTGGAGGGCCTGGTGTCCGCGCAGGTCCAGCTGTGCCGCAGTAACCTGGAGCTCATGCACACCATCGTGCACGCTGCCCGCGAGGTCATGAAGGCCTGCCGCAGGGCCTTCGCGGACATGCGCTGGAACTGTTCTTCCATCGAGCTGGCCCCCAACTACCTGCTTGACCTGGAGAGAGGTAGGGAGCCAGCTGGGGCTGCTAGGGCCTACGGAATGCTGGCGGGTGGGGGTGGGTGAATTCAGGCATAAATAGATGTGTTTAGATAGGTGGGTGAAGTCACGGGTGGATGGATGGATGAATACGTGACGGGCGGACGAGTGAATGGATGGATGATGGACGGATACACAGAAGGTTAGAGCCATGGATGGATGGGTGGGTGGATGAATTAATCATAGATCTGGGTATTTAGGCATGAATTGATGAATGAATAAACATAGAGTGAGTGAATATACCGGTGCAGCGGAGCCTGAGTGACAGCACAAACGCACGTGCGCCCTAAAGCATGAATGAAGGCAGGGTCCCAGGGGAGCTCTTGGGGCTGAGGGGCCGATGGGACAAGAATGTGACGGAACCCACCCCCGGGGCAGACTGGTGTTCACAGTTAATTCTAAACCGGTCACCACAAGATGCACACAATGATAAATGGACTAAAAAATATCTGGGGGGAAGACTTCCTGGAGGGGGTCGGAGGTGGATTTGGGGACCGTGGGTTCAACAGAGAGGCTTTCGATTGGCAGAAGAGCCCTAATGGATCTAACCTGTGTCCTGCACGGTAACAGCTAACCTGTGTGTGGCACTCGACAAAGCTCCCTTTCTTCCCGAATTACATGAACTCTAGAGTCAGCCTGGGGAGTAGGTATTCTCACTCCCATTCTACTGTTAAGGAAACTGACACTCAAGAAGAGGAAGTGACTTTCTAGTAAAGAGATGGATCCAGAGCTCGGACCCAAGGCCAAGACACACCCCCGCCGGGGCACACTGGGCTCCATGTGCCAGGGCTGCAGTAACAAAGTACCACAAACTAGGGGTGAGGCTGTTTCAAACGGCAGAAATGTGTTGTCTCAGAGTTCTGGAGGCTGGAAGTCTGAGATCAAGGTGTAGGCAGGGCTGTGCTGTCTGAAGGTGCACGGGGAGGCTCTTTCTGGCCTCTTTAGTTTCAGGTGGTGGCCTCATTGTTCCTTGGCTTATAGCTGCATCACTCCAATCTCCACCTCTGTCGCTTGTCCTTCTCCCTCTACGTGTCTCTGATTCCAAAACTCCCTCTTCCTCTGCGGCTACCAGTCCTTGGATTAGAGCCCACCTGGATCATTTTAGCTTAGTTATACTTGCAAAGACCCTACTTCTAAATAATTCACATGTACGAAGGGTCAGGAGCTGAGCAGGTCTTTTGGGGGACACATTTCCACACACAGCAGGCTCTCTGCACACTCATCTTGCCTATCAGGTCGTGAACTCTTTGGGGAGCTCAGGGGCTGGGCCTTCATTTCTCTAAAGCAGCCCCTCGCACTGAGTGCAGAGCAGGCAGGCTCAAGCACAGGGTCATGAGCCTGTGGGAGTGCGGGTGCGCCTGCCTGCATGGGGGCGGGGGGGGCTCTGCTGGCCTATGTGAATGTGTGTGTGTGCGCGCGCAGGGCAGCTAATGTATTTGTGGGAGAAAGTGAGGGAAACAGATTAATGGCCCAAGTTCCGTCCTCCACCCGCTCCATGCTGCTTGCAGCCCCTGTTCCCACCTGACCTCATAAAAGGAGGTAGGAGCCCAGGAGGAGTCCCTCAGGCCTAGGCTGGGTGCTAGCCCCTGGTCACCCGACATGGGCTGACGCACGCCTTCCCACAGGGACCCGGGAGTCCGCCTTCGTGTATGCGCTGTCGGCAGCCGCCATCAGCCACGCCATCGCCCGGGCCTGTACCTCCGGCGACCTGCCCGGCTGCTCCTGCGGCCCCGTCCCAGGTGAGCCACCCGGGCCCGGGAACCGCTGGGGAGGATGTGCGGACAACCTCAGCTACGGGCTCCTCATGGGGGCCAAGTTTTCCGATGCTCCTATGAAGGTGAAAAAAACAGGATCCCAAGCCAATAAACTGATGCGTCTACACAACAGTGAAGTGGGGAGACAGGTAACCACCCACCCCACCCACCCCAGATGGTTGCGCTTGTGCCAATCGGCAAGAAAAGGCCACCCAGTGTGCCCCGATGGAGGGGGTGGCGGGGAGGGGTGGGCCCTGATACATCCACACTGATGTGCTCCTGGCCTCCCCAGCTCTTCCCTCTCCAGCTGCTTGGGGCTTGCCTGGATCCTCCTCCTCCAGGGGGTCCACTGGGATTTGGGTTGGAGAATGTGGGCCGAGAAGGAGCACCGAGCTGGGAGTCAGGAGCTCTGAGTTCCTACCTTGGCTCTATGTGCAAGTCTCTTCCTCTCTGGCCTCAGTTGTTCCCATCGTAAATTGGAGTGCTTGCTGCTCTGTATTGGCCATGTTCCTCAGGCTCTGTCTCTGGGGCTCTGGCCCAAGGCTGGGTGTGGGAGGAGACGTGGAGGGGGCTGTGGGGCAACCCGGCCTTAGCCTAAGGCATCGTCTCCTGGATTCTAATGGGGACTCCCTCCTGGCTCCAAAACCCACTGTAACCTCCAAAACACAGTTTTCCCCAACATCTGTTATCAATTTTTCCTTAACTCCTTACATCATTCCACAAAAGATTGGGCGAATGAATGAATAGACCTTTTATTTTTTGACAATTAAAAAACAACAACTTTACGCCAATCTGTATGCCAGGCACTGTGTTGGGTGCTTGATGAGTTTTCTCTCCTGCGGCCCACAAACCACCTGTGAGGAGGTACTGCTATGTCTTCTTGCAGATGGAGAACGGGGTCCTGGAGGGGCAGGGTGTTGGCTGCAGACGGCTTCTCATGACCTCCTCCCTGCAGCCCTGTGCAAGGCCCATTTTACAGAGGCACCGAGTGAGGCACAAAGAGCTGAGGTGGCTCAACCAAGAACACAGGGCGCAATGGAGCCCAGGTCTGTGGGACTCCAAGTCCAGAGGTTTCCATGTCCTCACCTTCCTCTCTCACTGGTCTCTCTCATGTAAGGGACATTTGGGGAAACTGAGGCCAAGTCACGCTGTGGGTCTGTAGCAGAGCCTGGCCAGGGACCCAGGACTTCAGCCTCCCAACCCTGGGGATCAGGCCCCCATCCTTGGAAGCTCAGCAGGAGCCCTTCGCCCAGCCCCTAGTCCAAGAAGCTGGCCCGCGCAGGGCCCAAACCTCTTGGCGCCAGAGGCGCAGCCGCAGCCTCCTGCCGTGCAGTCCAAACAGGGTCTCAGCGCTGGGCACGCTGGACTTACCCCTGGGGCCCTGATGCGCACAGCTGGCCTCTCTGGTCCCCCTCCCCCAAGCCGAGGGCCTGGGAGGGGTACCTCGCAGATACAATGTGCTCGGTGCTGGCACCCAGCAGAGCTGAGGAACTGGACATAGTTTACCTTTCCTCGATGATTCAGAAGCACCTCCCCTGCTTTGGGAGGCTGAGCGTGCCCTGCGGTGCTGCTCACTTCATTCCTGAGCTCTCCGCGGGCTTCACTGAGCCGATTCCAGATTTTGTACCGGAACGGACTCCCTCGCTCCCCGCTGCCTGGCACCAGTGAGGGGGAAGAAGCCCTGGGGCCCTGACCAGTGCCCTTGCTAACTCGCTGAGTGATTTTGGGCAAGCCCCTGCCCTCTCTGTGCCTCAGCTTCTTCATTTTTTTGATGCAAGGGGTAGGCCCAGGGACCAGTAAGTCTTGCAGCTACCTGCACAGGGCAGGCAGGAGGGCCGGCCTGGGCATGTGGATCCAAGTCCTCTGTGCAAAGATGTGGGGGTGAAAAGGCAGAACTGAAAGGATCTAATGCATCCCCCTCAGGTACATGTGGGGAAACTGAGGCCCAGGGAAGATGGTAGGGCAGAATTACTTCCAAAGCCAGGGCCAAAGTCTGCCCAAGCCCCAAAGCCCAAGCCTCTTCCCTCCACCAAATTATTACTTAGACTGATTTTTCAAAGTCAATATTGATTTAAATTTTATAGTTCACAAAACTCTTTCATAAACGTCTTTTCATTGAATTCTTACGACTATGCAAGGTGACAGTTATGAGGGCTGTGGTGATGATTAAGCCATGTTATGTGTTAGAGCACTTGGTGTACAGTGGGTGTATAACTGGCATCCATTATCCGGCAAGCGCCACTCTCTTCCTGCACCTCCCAGCTGTCCCCCAGTTTGGAGGGGGAGCTGAGGACCTGAAACACCCCCCAGCTTTAGAGCAAAAAGCCCTGTCACCTGAGGTCCAAAACAGGCAGAGGATGACTCCCTGAGAGCACCCGGCACAGGGGGTGGGGAGAGTGGGGCCCAGAGTCCCAAGGCAGGCCAGGGAGGGGCCCTGGCCACCAGCCCGACGCCATGCCCTGTCCGCAGGCTTTGCGCGCCTCTCTGGAAGTGAAGTGTAAGTGCCACGGGGTATCTGGCTCCTGCTCCATCCGCACCTGCTGGAAGGGGCTGCAGGAGCTTCGGGATGTGGCCACTGACCTGAAGACCCGCTACCTGTCAGCCACCAAGGTCGTACACCGACCCATGGGCACCCGCAAGCACTTGGTGCCCAAGGACTTGGACATTCGGCCTGTGAAGGACTCGGAGCTTGTCTATCTGCAGAGCTCACCTGACTTCTGCATGAAGAACGAGAAGGTGGGCTCCCACGGGACGCAAGACAGGTACGGGGCTGCTGCTACCTCCGCAGGAAGGGGTCAGCTGTGTAGCAGGTGCCCCATCCCAGCTCCGGGCCAGGCAGGGAGTGAGGCCTCAGTTGGCATTTGGGGAATGGAGTCTGTGCCCATTTGAGAGAGGCGGCCCCAGGACTAATGAGTGGAGGTGCCAGGGTTCAAGGGGTCCCTGGCAGAGCTTCTCGGAACGGCTGCTGTGCACCTCACCAAGGCAGGGGCCCCTCGGGAATGGAGGTTGGTGAGGAGCCCCCACCCCACTTTCCGTCCGGCTGGGGAGGCAGATAGGAAGAGATGCTGACAGGGACTAGCCTCAGTAAACGTATGCCAGGTGAATAAGTGCAAGATAAAAGTTGTACAACTTGCTCACTGGACAAATGAGGCAGAAGGGGCGGTGGGGGCAGCGGCCAGCCCACAGCAACACGGGAAGTCTGCCCAGAGTGGAGGCAGAACTAGGGCAGCCACTTTGCAGAGGGGCAGCAGGAGAGCGAGGTCTGCCTGCATTCCTTGCAGAGATAGTGGCCCCATTTCCTCCATAGGCGTACACCCACACTCTGGGCCCCAGCTCTCTCCCCGGGGTCCCCGCTTTCAGAGCCAGGGCTGGGATCCCTACAACCGGCCCCATCCTGGCTGCTGACGCTGGCTCAGGACAAGAGCGGTGGAGGGAGCCAGTGATGACTGCAGACCTACTATGTGCCAGGTGGGGCTAGTGGGGAACGGCATTTCCCAGAGATAATTTTGAAGGAAGCCAGTCCTGAGGAGCTATAATAGAGACAGTTCCACAATCATACTCATTTGGGATTTTTTCTGGCGATTCACAAGGCACGAGAACATATTAAAGGCTCCGAGGAATCCCACAGTAAAGGATCTGTCTAAGCTGTGTTTCCCAGAGGTGTTTGGCTGTGGAACTCTTTTATTAAGGAGCCCCTAATAGCATTCCACAAAATGAGTGTTCTGCGGGGTTAAAAGAATATTGAACCAGAGTGAGGGTGTCTGAGAATGTGTTTGGCACATAGTTGGTGCCCAGCCAGCATTTGCTTCCTCCGCAGCCCACGTTCCTGTCTCCAGGAGAGGGGGGCTCGTTTGGGGGGGCTCTGTCTTCACAGGCCAGGGCAGCAGGCTCTGTGAGGAGGCCCAGGCTCCCATCTGGAGGCCAGATTGAGGGGGTCGGGCAGTGTGAAGATGGAACTGGGTCAAGCCAGGCAGACGGGAAGGAGTGAGGCGGTCAGGCTGGGTATGATGAGGATGGGGTGGGGAGGGGAGGAGTCTAGAACCCAGAGGGACTGAGAGAAGCCCATCAAGGACCCCTGAGCAAAGAGAGGGTCTCCCTGGATCCATGAGGGGCTGTGTGTGTGTATTGGGAAATAACAGTGTGCACCCTGACTCGGCAGCTTCCTAGCTGTTGGACCTTGACCAAATCCCTTCACTGTCTGAGGCTCTGTCTCCTCTTCTGAGCAATAGGTTGATAGCACATACCTGGGAGGGGTGGTGAGCGATCTCTCTTTGTGCTATGCAGTGTCAGCCTCATGGGAAGGGCTCATTAATGGCAGCGCCCCCTCCCCTCTTCCCACCCCCCAGGCTCCCAGGCCTCTTCTTTCCCAGCTCCCTTAACGCTACCCTTAGGATTTGCCCCCAAACTACTGATGAGGCGGCCCACCTCATAGCACCAGCTGCCTTCCTCGCTTTCTCAGGACGCTCCCCGCCAACCCAGGTTTCCTGCCGTGCTCCGCTCCCAGCCATTGTTTTGGGAGTGGGCCTTTGCAGACATCTGTATTGGTCAGCGTTTTCTGCGGTAACAAACAGCCTCACTCTCTCAGTAGCTTACAACCACCGACACACCTCACACTCATTATGTGAGGCTCTGACAAGTGCCGGGGAGGTGGAGAGACATCAAGTGTTCAGGCTGTGACGGAGGGAAGCCGGGGTGTTGGGGGTGAGGGGAGCCCAGAGAGGTCTTGACCCCGTGTGGGCATCAAGGAAGGCTTCCCAGAGGAGGGAAAAGGGAAGCTTTACTAGGTTAGGGCATTTGCGGGTGCAGGGGATTAGATATAAATGAGCCTTTTTAACTGTCGAAGGCATGTGTGCACAGAGGCTGGCCCCCTTGCTGGGGAAGAGACACTCTCCTCAAGTCCAGCCTGACGAACTGAGGCCTTTTCAGCAGTGAGTTCTGAGCCCCAGCCCTCTGGTCACGTTTCTTCCAGAGGCCCCTGCATCCCTGAAAGCTGCCTTCTCATGGCCTGTGCCACCTATTCCCTGGGAGCCAGGGATCCCAGGGGTCTTCCCTGGGGCCGTGACCCCTTCTCCAGGCCCTACCCCCCTGCACTCCCTGCTCCCAGTCACCATCTCAAGCTCTGTCTGGCTCCGAGGTTAGAGACCAGGTTGTCAGACATTGCCTGTCAAGTTTCCAGAATAAAAATGGAATTCTGCCCCCTTCCCCACCACCCTTTCCTTCAGGATAAGGCAGAGGGGGACCAATGGTGTTGAGTGACTAAGCAAAGCCCAGAAAGGTTAAATGACTTGCTGTAAGTCATACAACTAGAAAGGGCAGAGCGGGGTTTGAACCCCGGTCTGTCTGGCTCCGGGGCATGTGTTCTTCCTGCTGTTCCCTCCTGCCTGGTACTGTTTGCAGCCCCTGCATGCAGATCACTGTCACCTCCTGACTCTCCCCCCACCCCAGCTGCTCCCCTCCTCCCTACTCCATGGTCCCTCCTCAGCTCAGGGCTTGGCCTCTTTCACTCAGCTGCTGCCCGCCGCCTCCCTGGCCTCCCTGCCTCCTGCCCGTCCCCTTCCATCTGTTCCCTAACTCCTATTAGATTAGGTCAGGTCAGGCTGTTGTTCTCTATGTACCCAGCACCTTCTCCCCTCCTTCGCATCTTAGATCTCCGCTCATCTTTCGCCAGACAGCCTGGACAGCTCTGCCTCAGGACGCCGCCCTGAGCTCTCACAGACCCCAGGCTCACCCTGTGTGACCCTGGGCAAGTCTCCTCCCCATGCTGTGCTTTGGTTTCCCCATTAGGAAATATGAGGGCTGGGTTGGTCATTTCTAGGGCTTGTACATCTCGGACATTCTGGGATTCCTCGGTCCACAGGGCTGTGGGGACCCAGCTGTGTCCCATGATGACATCCCTGTTCCCGCCAGAGGAACTGCCACCCTGTGCAGATATTCCTTCATGAGACAAAAGAACTGATGGGAAGGATATGTGGGTTTTATAGGGGCCTTCAGTGTCTTCTCCTCCCACACGAGTGATCCAGGGATCAGGGCAGCCCTGGGTTCCCCTGGGAGAACACGCACTGTGCTCAGTGTCAGGACCCCTGAGCTTAAGGCCTGCTCCTCCACGGACTCCCGTGAGGCCTGCACAGGCCTCTGTCCTTCATTCACGGAGCCTGTGTGCATCTGTGAAATGGGCAGGATAACTCCTCCCACCCAAGGGCCCTGCATGCCTCCAGTAAGACAAAATAGAGGGGGAAAGTGCCTGGCACATAGCGGGCCAGGGGGTACTGGAGCCTCTCCCCCAAAGAACAGTGTGCCAGACTCTCACTTTGCCTCATATCCAGTGCCATTTTGTCTGTTTCTGGATTTATCCTGAGATTCTAAAAACAATCTTTGCATTTGTTACAATATAATTCAAGATTAAATATGAAGATGACCAGAGGCTCCCTCAAGTATTTAGAAGTGGGAGAAATAGGAAAAAAGACATCTCCAAGAAATAAAACACCCCCATCATTTTGATAAATGCTTCTTAGAAATAAAGAGAAAAGTGAGAAGTAGCTTTAGGGAAGAAGATTATTTAAAATTCCCAAAGACCGGGATACCTTCCATGGGTGACTGAGTCTGCGGCCACAGGCCGGGGGGAGGGAGGCGGTGGGGGAGGCTGCCGGCTGCCGGGCTGGCAGCATGGGGCTGGAGGTGATAGAAGTGCTCACTGACCTCCCCTCCTCCCCACAGGCAGTGCAACAAGACATCCCACGGCAGTGACAGCTGTGACCTCATGTGCTGTGGACGCGGCTACAACCCCTACACAGACCGCGTGGTCGAGCGGTGCCACTGCAAGTACCACTGGTGCTGCTACGTCACCTGCCGCAGGTGTGAGCGCACCGTGGAGCGCTACGTCTGCAAGTGAGGTCTGCTCTGCCCCCATGGGAGCTCCTGGGGACCCTCAGAGGCCCACTAAGGCCCGCCAAGGGACCTGGAGACACCCCGTGGATTTTTTGCTTGTGAATTCCAGATGCCAGGCATTGGAGGCTGTTTGTGCTTCCACTTGGGAGCCACCAGGAACAGAAGGAGGGCCGGGACATCAAAGGAAACTAACAAGATTAAAAATAACCTGGCAGCCTGCGGCCCGGGAGTGCCCTCTTGCTGCCTTCCAGGCTGGTCTAAGAAACCAGGGCCATGGGTTTGGCAAGACTGGTATGGACTTGACCTTTCACAGCCAGATCACCAGCCTCCCGGGAAGGAAGGGGGGGTCTGTCTGCCCTCATCAGAGTGTTCTGCAGGCCCAGCCCTCGAGACCCCCAGTCCCTGGGGTCGAGCCTGCTGGGCCCACCACATGGAACCACTAGCTCGGGTTGTAAATGTTTTTTGGTTTTGTTTTCTTTCTTCCTCTGGGATGTGGGAGCTACAGAAATATTTATAAAACATAGCTTTTCCTTTGGGGTGGCTTGCCTCAATTCCTCTTTATATATTTTATATATATAAATATATATATATATATATAATGATCTATATTTTAAACAAGCTTTTTAAACAGCTATATGAAATAAATGCCGAGAGAACCCCAGCCCTCCCCTGCAGTCTCTGGCCTCCTCAAGAGAGCTCAGAAGATCCTGGCTCTGGCCTGGGGGGCTCTCCGGTTTCCAGGCCAGGCGGCTTCCGATTGATGTTCCTACCCACCCCCCACCCCACCCCACCCGGCTCTGGGGCTCTGGCCCTAGTCTCCCTGTAAGATCGCTTGGTCAAGGGCAAGGACAGAGGTCTTGAAACATAAACCCAGCTGGCAGACTCTTTGTTCCTCAGGGACACACGCACGCATGCACACAGCATGGCCGCGTCATCAGGCTTGCTAAGCCGGCTTCACGGGAACGCCCAGCCCAGGGGAGGCAGGGGACGCAGACTCGGGTTCCAGCTAACTCTGTGGTTTTCCTGGGTGACTGTAGGGAAGACTTTTCCCCTCCTCAGGCCTCAGTTTCCCCGTTTGTAAAGTGGGGGTGGTAGAGAGTAAGGTCGGTGGTGGGGAAAGGCTGGCGGCAGCGGGTGCGGAGGGGCGGTGGGGTTCCTGTGGCTTCCATCAGGGTTTGTTCTCCTTACGGTTGCGGGGTGTGAGGACCAGGAGGATCAAGAAGGACTGCAGTGGCTTTGGCCGAGCACTCAGGAGAATGCTGGTAGGGCTGTGGAGGGAGGACTGGGTTCAGACTTGGACATGAGGAGATGATGTTGATTTCAGTCCCAGGTGGAGACACTGAGTAGAGGGGCAGATGTTCTAATCTGGAGTCCTGGGGAGAGGCTGGGGGTGAGGTGCACGCTTCGGCCTCAGCACAAAGGGCTGGGGTAGAAAAACAGAGTCCCAACGCCTGAGCCGGGGCACTTCCAGTCCGGCGTGAGGGAGATGAAGAAGAAAAGCACAGAAACTGAGCAGTAACAACCAGGGAGACGAGAGAAGCTGGCCCCGTGAAGGTGGGGTCTCAGTGCACACAGCCCGGTGTCTCTCTAAGCTTCAGCTTCACTTCCTGCCACGGGGACAGCACTGAGCACAAGGGAAGCGTATCCTGGGGCCTGGCCCATGGTAGGTCCTCCCAAGTGGAAGCAGTTATGAGTCACCTGTGCCTTGGTCTAGCTGTGAGTGACTGCATGAGACAAAGGATGTAAGCAGACTTTACAAACTGAATTTCTGCGTGTGGGGGAGGAGGCGAATGCGGAGATACAACCTGGGATGGCTGGAGCGCAGCACCGCCTGGGAGCCGGGGCGGGAGCCAGTGAAGCGAAGCAGGCACCCAGGGTGGGATGACGGGGACGCACCCGAGAGGCTGGACCCATCACAGGGCGGGCCGTCCTCCAAGTCCCAGCCTGGAAGTGTGCAGGGGGGTGGCCCCAGTGACAGAATCCCAGCTGAAAGGAACTTCAAGATAAGTCTCCTGGTCTCCTCTCAACCTGTTTTGCAGATGAGGAAATTCCTAGAAGGGAAGGGCTTTTCCTGTGGTCACAGTGCTGATAAGGGCTGAGGGCGGAGGTGGGGTTGCAGGATGTCCCAGGACAGGGCTCCCACCAGTACCTCTGGAGAAACCCCCAGCCTCCCCCAAAGGAGCCCTTGGAGTGTGTGCTCTCGCAGGCCCAGGGCTGCCCCTGCTCCACAGCCTTCACTGGCTCCCAGTGGTCCACAAACCAATGCTCAGTTCCCTGCCCCAGTGCACAAGGCCCTTCCCTCAGGCCCCAGGTGGCTCTTCCAGCCACACTTCCAGCAACTCCCCAGGCATATCCTCTGCTTGGCCTGCCTCTGGGCACATGCTGTTCTTCAGCTTTCCAACCACATCCACAAAGCCTTCCCCAGTCCCCTCAGGCTGCCAACAACCCTTGAATATTTTATTTTTAATCCTCGCCTGAGGATATGTTTTTATTGATTTTAGAGAGGATGAGAGAGAGAAACATTGATGAGAAAGAGAGGAACATCGATGTGAGAGAGAAACACCGATTGTTTGCCTCCCACATAAGCCCCAACCAGGGATCAAACCTGAAACCTAGGTATGCGTCCTGACTGGGGATCGAACGCACAGCCTTTTGGCGTATGGGACAATGCTCCAACCAACTAAGTCACCCAGCCAGGGCAACTCTTTGAACCTTTATAGCAGCCACAGCACTCATGATCTCTGTGGCCTGCCACTGCCCACTCTTCCCTCAAGGCCCATGTAAAATGGTTCCCTCCTCCAGAAAGCCTTCCCTGACTACCCTCAGCCTGGGTTGATGGCCTCCTCTGGGTTCCCACAGCCTCTGCGTTCCTCTCTGACATTGTGCGAAGCCAAGGCATTGTAGAGGCCTGTGCTGTGTCAGTATCTGCCTCCCCTACCAGTATGAGGCCTTCTCATGAGCTGGGATCAGACTAATGCACCTGTGGGCCCCCAGGATCTAAGGGTGAGGCACTCAGGGCTGAGTATATGCCTTGGAAATGTTGGATTTGGGGGTGTCCAAGATAGTGAATGGGAAACCAGACCAAAGACCCAGAATGGCTCTCAGAAAGGGTGGTCATATAATATAAATGCTACTCTTTATTGTGCACCTACCATGTGCTATGCCAAACACATTGCCTCAGATGAGTCTAGTTAGCACCATTTGACAGGAGAGAAAAGGGAGGCTCTGAGAAGGGCTAACCGGCCCAGATCTCACAGTAAGTTCATAGCAGGGCAGGGCCAGGAGCCTAGTTGTGTCTAACACCAACCCCCTTCTCACACGTCTTCCCTCCAAGGAGGCATGGGCCGAGCAGCATAAAAGGCGGAAGACTATTTCCAGCTCAGGAGAGAAGATCTAGCTGGACCCCTGACTTAGTAGACCTCATACACCTGCCATTGGCCAGTGCCCGGGTCTGCAATGAAGCCCTGCAACTTCCTGGCTGGTCGGGGCCTGGGCAACCAGGGGGTGGTGGGGAGCTGGTCGCTGGACCACTCCTCCTGGCCAACTCAGAGTTGTAAGCATGTAGCTGGGCTGAGCCCACACTCCAGCGCGGCCTCCTCTGGTGTGAATCCTAAGACCTCGAAGCTCTGGTGTCTCGGATCTTATCGTTTTAGGACTATAAAAGAGATTTAGGACTATAAAATCTTGGTACCATGGACTTTCGGAGTAAAATCCTCAAACCATTGCATCGGAAGTCCTATCGAGGCCAATAGCCAACCCAAAGAGTTTAAAAGGCCCAGGGGTTGATCTGTGGTGTCAGATGGCTCGTCACCAGCAGGATTCCTGACCCAGGCCATGCGCCATCCCCCTCCTGGGTAAGGGCCAGCAGTCTCAGACTGGGCTGTGTGAGGCCCAAAAAGGCCTTGAGAAATGGCAGCTCCCCGAAGATGCTAGTACCAGCGACTTTGAGGAAGTGTCTGAACCAAGTGGGCAGGCCGGCCAGAGACACGGGAGAAACAGGGCCTGGGGAGAGAGACAAGAAGGCGGCAGAGAGGAAACAGGAACTCTTGGAGAGAGGGAGAGATTAGCTTGGTGGGAAAGGAGAGAATAAGCAGATAAGGCCCCCTCGGGAGGCCAGGTCGGGCCACAGGAACAAACAAGGGGGGTCCAGGCCTAGCCCTGGGCAGGCTGATGGTCTGTTGTTTCTCAGGTCACCGAGACCAGCTGCAAGGTTACACAGACCAGGCCTCCCTCAGGATGCAGGCCCCAGCCCAGGACCCCGGGCCCGAGAGAGAATGGAAGGGAAGGGGGGGAGTCTGGGGCTGGGAAACAGGAACCCCAGTATCTTTTCCACTCTCTTGCTGTGTGACTCCCGGCAGCCGCTGGCCTTCTCTGGGTCTCTGCAGTAGTCATTTTGTTTAATTCTCACAACTGTCCTGAGGGGTAGGGCCCAATATCTCTATTTTTTTGATGAGGCCTAGAGAGAGAAGTGACTGGCCCAGGTTATGGAGCTGTAGGTGGGCGAGCAGAGAGATTTAAGTCCCAGACTGCCTGGCTCCAAGTCCATGATGGGCGTCCCAGGGAGGCAGATGGCCTCCCACTGGGTGCGGAGTTGGACTCTGAGGCAGTGGAATACACAGGAAGGAGAAGGAACAATTCAAGATTGAGCAGTTCTTGACATCTGCCACTGGGACCTGAGACTGTAGTCCAGGGGCAGGCACAGATGGCCCCATCCCCACAGCTATCAGGCCATAGTTTAGACAACACTTTCCTGCCTTGTCTTCCCGAGCTGAGGGGTTCACCACCATCATCCGGGTATCGGGACTCCCAGGACCCACCTGTATGTGGAGGCTGAGGGGCGAAGAGAGGTACCCTCCTTCGGTGGGCCCACAACTCCTAATTAGTGTAACAGAGATGACCGAAGTCAGAAGACAGGCAGAGTCCTGGGGGCTTTGGGGGTCTGAAAAAGGAAACCTCACTTCTCTCAGGATGTTGGGGGTAGGGAGTGGAAATCTGAAAGACTTCATGGAGGAGGTATCATTTGTACTGGGTCTGGAAAACTGAGTAGGATTCTAAGATATGGAGAAGGGGGCGAAGGGGAGGGGTCTGCATGAACAAGGCATGGCAGCAAGTTTGCTCAAAGGATGCCAAGAGCAGGGTGTGGCTGGGCTCAGGCCTGTGGGCACCAGGGCACGAGAGGTCCAAGCCAGGCTGCCCCGGGCTCTAAGAACACCCACCCCCACTAGGGCTCCAGCCACCGGCTGGTCCTCCCCACCCCCAACTTTCTCCTGCCTGCCAGGTCCCCTGCCCACCCGCAGAGATGGCTGGCTTCAGGCAGAGTGATTTAACAGCTGAAGTTTAACTGGTCCCTTTGCTCCCGTAGACCAAATCAATATCCGCTCAGCTCCCTGGGCCTGTGGCTGCTGAAGACATTCTCCTCATCGGCCCCTTGGCCCCCATTGCCTCACCTACAGGGCTCCAGCAAGGGCTGAGGGGCTGGAGTAGGAGCGGAGGGGGAAAAAGAGGTGGCAGATC